CTAAGGCACTTGACTGCTAACCAGAAGGCTGGTGGTTCAAACCCACCAGCCACTCCTTGGAAGGAAGGTTGGGCAATTCTATTTCTGTAGTGATACCTCCTCAGAAACCCAAAGAGGGGTCGTTATGAGTCAGGGCCGACTCGATGGCACATAACAACAACAGCATCAACCCAAAGTGTTACTTATTTTTGAGGAAAAAACAGTCTTAGAGCCCACTTTTCTCTTTAGAGCTAATGTGTATAATTTCACAGCTGTTTTGTTTTTCACTCTCACCACCATCACCAGTTGAAAAGGCTACTTTTTAAGCACGTAACTCTTCAAGATATCACTACAGAATCAAGCCTATAGACAAGTATGCATTAACATAGGGAAAAAGAGAACACTAAGGACCTGTAAACTTGAAGGAAGTGTATGTATAACCAGCAGAGGGAAAGACTAAAGAGAGAGAGATTATATGTAGATTTTGGTATCTGAAGGAACAAATACACAAAAGTAAAAACCACACATGTTCCATGAGTCAAAAAATTAACACAAATGAACAAAATGGATACATTTGTCTAAAATAAATGCAAAATAAGACATTTTTATTTCAAACTTAACTCACAGGTAGCAACAACAAAAAAGATTAAATTGGTAACTGGAGTTCTTTTAGTTTTTCATTTAATATAGAAAAAAAAAAAAGAATTAAAATTTACTCCTCTAGAATGTAGTATTTAACTCTGAAACAGCTTCCAAATTTAATTTATTTGTGGAGATGCTACTCTCCTGTGGACTTCTAGGACACTGCTGTATATAACAAAAACAAAAAATCCTTTGCCATTGAGTCGATTATGACTCATAGCACCGTATAGAACTGCCCCATAGGGTTTCTAAGGCTGTAAATCTTTACAGAAGTAGACTGCCAGATCTTTCTCCAGTTGTGTGTAGCCAGCAATAGATTAGCTGCCATCCAGTTGGTCCTGCCTCATACAGTATAGTGTAAATTTTAAACTCTGACTATTATTTAGGGCCATTCCATCATTTTCCAAATAAAGAAATTGAAGCAGATAAAATATTTTCTTTTGATGGAGGATCTATTAAATGATTGATAAACTTTATATATAAAAAGTTCACAGATTTTCATTTATAGATGTAATTCAGGATGACTTAAAACTGTTGTGAAGAAAAGATAGGATAGGGAAGGACAGAGGGAAGTAACTACAGGGAGGTAGTGGGAAGAGAACTGTTACATTGTGGGGAAATACAGTCAATGACAGGAGACAAAATGTATATGAACTGCTGTACGGAAAATAAATTTGCTCTGTAAACTTTCACCCAAATCACAATAAAAATATAAAATAAATAAATTGGATTTTTAATAAAAAGAAATGATAGGACATTGATAAGACACTTGCTGAGTTAGCTGCTCCTCTGCTAAGCCCCATTTCAGCTGAAAACTGAAACATTCCAGAGCTCTAAACTTTAAGCACAAAATTCATTTTAGTTAGTGCGTTGGGGATATTTTGGAAGCCTGTGGGATCTCTTTGTGTGTGATTTGCAGCTGCACTCTAATTGTCAGTCTTTCCTTTCCCACCATTTGATTGAAGGAATTAAAAACCAGGATAATTTGGAGTCCCAGTTGAAAATCAGAGTCAATTTTCTAAGCACTTTACAGTAGAGATGGTAGAGGGAAGTAAATAATTAACGTAAATGTTGTAATTCAAAAGCCAATGATGTGGGGAAAGGTCAGCAAATCTGAAGAGAGTCAACTTACTCTTAGGGAAGACAGGGTAAAGAATTAGCAGTTTACTTAGGTAAATCATTTTATACACTGGATATATGTATTTTGCAAAATTATGCTTCTTCTTAACATATGCTTTTATTCTTAGCATATATTTTCTTAAAATTACCAATCAGTACAGTTATTAGTGAGTACTTTCAAGTAATTCATGGTGATAGCTTAAAAATTGTCCTGTATTTACAGAGAAATCATAATTAATGAGATCTCTGCTAAGAGATGCCTAGACAATGAAAACCATAGACAGTCACCTTTCTTGGTCAGAACTGTGGGTGTGGGCTTTGAAAGAAGCTCTCAGACATGTCAATGAGGCTGACCACACACAGAGAGGCCAAGGAAAGTGACCACAAAGGGCATTTGCTTATTCTCTTTAACCATTGAGAAAATGAGACTCAAAGTCTTCCATCTTCATGCCTAGGAAGAGGAAGATTCAAAAAATCTTTTATATGCACCTTATATATAAAAAAGACTCTTTAATTTTATTCTTCCAAGGCACGAAGATAGAAGACTTTGAGTCTCATTTTCTCAAAGGGCATATGCACATTGGAAGCTCTACTGGTGTAATGGGTAAGGCATTTGACTGCTAACCAAAAGGCTGGGGGTTCAAACCCACCAGCCACTCCTCAGAAGGAAGACTGGGCAATTTACTTCCGTTGAGATACCACTTCTGAAACCCAAGGAGGAGTCGCTATGAGTTGGATTCAACTCAACAATGAAACTGAGTAAAGTCAAAACTGTTTTCCCCAACCTGGTTAAGGCAGATAATTAGAACAGATAGGACCCTGGATGGGAATAGATAAGTAAACTTAATTACTCTCAACTATTTCCTCACCCTGACCCCGGTTAGAGATAGATGAGTAAACACTCTGGTTGGAGACAGATGAGCAAATACAATAAGCTCAGTTCCTTAAGAGATGAATGGAAAAAAAAAAAATTCTTTCCTACTATTTCCTTAGGCACAGGTGATAAATACGTTAATGTGTCTTAGAAAACAACTTGAAAATTAACTCTGGCCCATGGACATGCGCAGTGGGGCAGAGAGGAAAAAAGTTACTGGGAACTAACACTCTCCCGTCTGCCTAAGCCCTGATCAGCTGATGACAGGAAGCCAGTGTGACTCATCCAGTGTGCAGGCACACTAACTCAAAACACTACTGTCCCTTTAAACTGAGGCGAAGGAAATTTCAGCCAATCATCAACCATCTCACCCCCAAATTCCTGACATTTTTATGAATATGCATAACCCTCTCTTCTGAAAGCTACAAAACTGTAATCTGATGGAGTTTCAGGGAGTCAGATCTGGGTACGGGGGTACTCCTGCTCCTTGCATTGCCACTTTGCAATAAATAATTTTCTCTCTTCCTAATCCTTCGGTGTGTAAACTATTTTGGCCTGACTATGCACCAGGCAGGGGCCCACGTTTGGTCCTATTTCAACAGCAGTGAGTTTGGTTTTGTTTTTTTGGTTTTATATGCACATTAAGTATACCATCATGTGCTCACACGCTCAGCATAGGTGCAGAAATGCTTCCTTCTTCTTGGCTTCAAACCATTACTCCTCTCCATCAAGGCTGAGTCTGTAAGGACTAGGAAGAACTTGAATGCCCCTGACGCTTCCAAGGATGTCACTAGAGAACAGAATGTTCTGTGAAGGTCCTAGATAGAGTAGATAATCACTTACCCTTGGTTTTTCTCAACTCCTCCACTAGGGAGCAGGCTTCCTCCTGAACGCGGTCCTCAATGCTCCTCTTCCCCATCCCAAAATTCCGCAGGGTCATGAGAGAGAAGCGCCGAATTTCTTTCCATGTCTTTCCGTTGCTGAAAATGAGTCCTACCAGGTGGAATAATAGAAAGTAAAGTGACAGTCAAGGAAGAGGATGCTAACCTAAGCAGCCACATTGGATGGACCATTCTCTGCCTGAGTATTCTTCAAAATCTGTTCTCACTTGTCATCACACCCCTCTATACCTCAAGTGCTGAGGAGGAAGGATGTTCCCTTGAGGACTAAGGTGCACCTGACACAGGCCATGATATTTCTAACAATGAATAAGGAAGACCAAAGAAGAGTTGATGCTTTTGAGTTGTGGTGCTGGCAAAGAATGCTGGAAGTACCATGGACTGCTGAAAGAACTCACAGATCTGTCCTGGAGGAAGTGCAGCTGAGATGCTCTTTGGAAGCGAGAATGGCCAGACTTCGTCTCACCTACTTTGGTCATGTTGTCAGAAGGGACCATTCCCTGGAGAAGGATGTCATGCTTGGTAAGGTGGAGGGTCGATGAAAGAGGGGAAGGCCTTCAACGAGATGGATTGACACGGTGGCTGCCACAGTGGGCTCAGGTATAGCAAGGATCTTGGAGCTGGTGCGGGATCAGGTGGTGTTTCATTCTGCTGTGCATGGGGTCGCTATGAGTCGGAAGTGACTCATCGGCACTTAACAACAACAACATACCTGCCCCATTTCCAACCCCCATCCCACAAGTCACGCCCACCTACCAACTTTGTTATTCGTTTTTTCACCCATTGGGAATCTGCCTCTTCCAGAAAACTCTTCTCCACGATCTATCAAGGCTTCCTTCACTGCTTCATACCCATGCAACACCACTGTGGGCTTCATGCCAAAATACAGAGTGAACACGGGGCCATAGGCTTTTGACAACTGGGAAAACAAAATGAATGTAAATATTAGCAAAAGTAGTCACTGTTTCCTCTACATTCTGTGCATGATTCATACTCACATTATTATTATTGTATTGATGAGGTCTTATTTTGCTATTCAAAACTTCATATATTCCTGAATTTTACATATATACATTTGATGGTGACTATTAAGGCTGCCATTTAAGGAGGGCCTCCGTGTGCCAGGGAATGGACTGGACCCTTGGTCCTCACATTATTATAATCAACCGTCATATCAAAACTTTACACATGTTTATTTACAACCACTTCATAAACAGAGGAACTGAGGTTCAGGGAATTTCAGTTTAGTTCCCAGTGTTCCACTGCTGATAAATAGAAGATCTAAATTTGAACCACTGCTGGGTGGACCTCTGGCACCTGAGCAATGTATCAGTCCCAATGCCCACCTTTGGACCAATATCCAGCCAACTGATTTGGGATCACCTATAAACCTCTTCCCATGGGGATTCTAATCAGTGTCACTGTGATGGATACTAGACAGACATCTGTTTTCAAAAATCACCCCAGGTGATTCCTAGGTGAGAGCAGTTTGTGATCCGCGGGTATTACTGACACAGAAAGACAGCGGGCACCACAGAGGCAGGGCCAGGACAGGCACATCTCGTGGAGCAAGCATTTCTTCCATCCTGCAGCTTTCCAGGCCACAGACAGCAGCTCTGTGCAGAGTCCAGAAGGACCCTGTCACCACCATGGCCTCCCTGATGACTGCTGTCTTTCACTCACCCACACTGGTTCTCAGACCATTGCTGTTCCCTTGACATCAGTAGTAATCTGCTTCTATGGAGAAGTTTAATTTCCTGGATAATCTGGACAAAATACATGGCTTATACAGTAGATGATTCATGGGATGAAATCTCTAATCACAAGTTCTTCCAACACCATTTATATTAGGCCAAAATATCACACCTGAGGATTGTGAAAAGATGAAGGGCTGCCATACTCCCTGCCTTTGCCACATCACCACCTTATTAATCCTTATTAATTTGTTTCTATTTTACAATGGTCTTAATATTTATTTCCTCCCATGATGTTTTACTTCATTCCTCTATTTCTTACAATGGCAAATTAAAAAAAAAAAAAAAAAAAAGACCAACCAGTGGAAATAGCAAAATCCACATGAACTATTTTGTTTTACAATGATGTATATGACTCCTTTAAGAAACAAATTTTACTTAAAGTAGGCATTGATTGTCTTACTCCCTGCATGCCACTGGAGGAGCATAAGGCATACTTACATTGCTTAAAGATTTGCTGATATTCTTCAAATCTATCTGCAGGCTATTTCCAATAATTGGGAGAGGAGTGGGGCCAGGCGGGAGCTTCCCTTTCCCATGGCTCTGTGTCCAGAGTGAAAAGAGAAGCCAAATGGAGAGACAGAGCACCAACACCAGGACCGGATCCATTCAAGCCTTGTCTTCTCACTCAGGCAGCTACGGGCTTCCAATCCAAAGTGTTTATAATACTCCCTGCTACTGAATTTGTGATCCTGGTGAGTAAACTGACCAATCATATGTATTTGATGTAATTGCTTCTGTCTGGACTTTGGCTCAACTGTTAAATTTTGTCATAGGAGCCTGGGTGACACAGCATTTTGCATTGTGCTTCTAATGAAAGGTTGGTGGGTGGAACCTACCCAGTGGGTGTTTAGCCCTTCATGTAAAAGATCTGGTGTCTAATCTTCCTTAAAGATTACAGCCAAGAAAATTCTATTAAGCAGTTCTATTCTAACAGGTAAAGAGCTCTGGTGGCCTAGTGGAGAAGGCATTTGGCTGCTAATCAAAAGGTCAGCAGTTCAAACCCAGCAGCCACTTCATGGCAGAAAGATGGGGCAATGTACTTCAGTAAAGATTTATAGCCTTGGAACCACAATGGGAGTCGCTATGAGTCGGAATCAACTTGATGGCAGTGAGTTTGGTGGGTTTTTTTGTTCTGTTTTGTTTTTTATTATTTATTGTGATCTGGGTGAAGATTTACAGAGCAAATTCACTTTCCATACAGCAGTTCACATATACTTTGTCTCATGTCATTGACCACAGTTTACCACAATGCAACAGCTC